TGAAGCACGAAGTTTCATACATCCAATTCACCATTTCCCATATCCATGGCACCTTGAGTGCAGCCCTAGCCCAGACCCCATGCCTGCCTGAGGGCATCTCTGGCCTAAAGCTGTCCAACTCTGACTGCAGTCTGGGAGAGGGTGAAGTCGAGGGAGAGGCATGGCCAGCAGCCTGGGAGCTGCCCACATAGAGGTGGACCAATCCAGGCCTTCTTCTTCTGTGGTGGAATCAGACCTGAAACTGGCTTGGGATGATAGATTCTTATCTTCTGACAAAGTAAGAATTTCAATCAAATTTAGATCATCCAGATCCAGACCAAACTGCGGCAGACCAAACCGCTCAGAGAGCCATGAGCTATTCCCTTGCTATCCCATTCCCACTCCCACTCACATTTAGAGTTGATAATCCTATTTTCCAATGATTTTGAATCTGTCCCTTAGATCCACCCTTTACATTCTGTTCTTATTTTGAGGCTAATAACTTCTTCCCCTCTTTATTACAACAGCCGCCTCACGTCAAAATTGCCTCCTTTTGGCCCAGTCTGCACCTGGAGAGAAATTTCCAGAATGTGCTTATAAGCCCACGGCAGTGTCCAGGATAAGATCTAAGTTCCCTAAGCATGGCATTCAAGACCTTTTTTTGTAAACCCTCCTTCTCTGACTTCCCAAGGGTGAGTTTCCTATTTCTCCCTGATCCCACAGTTCTAACACATGTATGGGACTTTTGCGATAATTCCAGTTTGACAGTCTGACTCTCTGGCTTAGTCCTTCCTACTGTTAGACACTGACCCTGATTCAGGAGGTGCTCCACAATGGAACAAACTAGAACAGGAACGCATGTATCTTGGTTCCACTTAAGGACTCTTTCTTCCCCACTGTACTTCTTAGGCCCTGGACAGTGGATTCTCAATGCAGAAACCTTGGCCAATCTCTAGCAAGAGGGACAGGTGCCTTAGTTTCCACTCTGTTCCCAACCCTGACCTTTACCCCTTACCTTCTCCTTACCTAGGAGGGTGCCTCCACAGAAGGGCTGCCCATTCATGTGTGACAGCATGGCAATCCAAGGAATAGTGCCTGGCTGGACTGGGTGTCCATTGAAAATCCTGGCTATCATCTTCCGGGAGAACTTGGGGACACCACACACTGCAGTCAAGGAAGGGAGAAGAGATCACACTCTGGATTCCATGTTTCCAATTGCTTAGGTCACCAGTTATCACTCTGTTAGGAACATTTGTAACATTTGATTTCCCAGCATCTGTTGCCCTTTCTGACAAAGGTATGTTGACTTTTTCCTTGGAGTCCACATTTTTCCCATTTCTAGGTGGCCTGAATTGCACTGAATTCACCTGTGGCTTCAGGGATAGAAATGTGACTAATCAAATGGAACTTCAGTCACAGCAATTGCTTTCAGAGATGAGATTCAGGCTTGGCCAGGCCAGTGAAAGGCTGGCTTGAAGATTCTGCTGAACATATTAGAAAAAGAGAAAGTCATTCTCTGCTGGGGTCGATAAGTCATTGACCATAGGCCAGGATCTGGCAATGACTATTTCGTGGAGAGTCTGCTGAGAATGATACTGCTAACACAGAGGAAGGTGGAACTGAAAGATAAGTAGTGAAGCAAAGGAAATTGTTTCCCAATATTTGAACCGTTTGATTCAGCCATATCTGAAGCTTCTGAATATGGCCATTTCAGTTATGTGAACCTATAAATTCTCTCTCCCTCCTGCTCTCCTTTTCCTTAAGCTGTTTATGTTAGGTTTCTGTGACTTAGAAATGAAAAAGAGTCTTGACTAATAGGGAGCCTCATACTCCATTGGGGTAGGGGGGGCTCTTCTCCTCAGAGAAACTCTTCCTCAGAGCCTATGGGGCTGACACCCCCACAACAAGTGCTCCATCTCCTGGCTTCCACTGATTTGGATTCTCAGACACACACTGCTGAATAGCCCTTGCTTTTGGAAACCATCTAGTCTGTTCCTCTTATCATACAGTTAAAGAAACCAAGGCCTAACTTAGTGTAGTGGTTCATGCCTGTAATCCTAGCTAATCAGGAAGCAGAGGTAGGAGGATAACTATTCAAAGATTGGACTGGTTGAGACCCTACCTGAAAAACCAACTACAAGCAAAACAACCAAGACAACAACATAAAAAAACAAACAAACAAACAAAACCTAAGAGAAAGAAACAAAGGAAAAGGAAACCAAGTCTCAGAGAAAGAACTTGATTTGCCAAAAGTTATTCTATGAGTTGGTGACAAGAATATAATAAGACTTTAATGCTGGATCTCCTAACTCCCAACTGTGGTCTTGTTCTCCTCTGGATAGCAGGGCACTCATACCTTAGCCCCCAAGATCCAGACACACCTGTCACCTTTGTAGCTACCACCAGGCTGAAGAACATCACAGATAAATGTGCTACATGCTTAGCATCTCTTACTGTCATCCACATATGCTTGGCCAGCTGCTCTAGCTAACAGCCTGTCCCCATTCTCAGCAGATGCTCAGATCCCACTGGGTGGGAATTCCTTGTCCTTCGTCCTCCCCATGGGTACCTCCTGTATACTTTCTTATCTTCAGAACTAATTGTATTCTTTGGATATCCTCATTTCTAAACTCTTGGGCACCCAGCCTTAGGAATTGTTGCCTTTCTCCTGTCTTTCCCATTACTTTCTCCTATAAAATATGGTCAAGATTTTCCATCTAAAAATCAACTTCCTTTTCCCTGCTTCCTTTCATTTTCCTGTCTTTCCTTCTTTGTTTCAGTCAAGCTGAGTGGACACTCAGTCTGCACATTTTTCCCTCTCCTCTGGAGAACTGAGCATATAATTTTTACTGTAAGCCTTAGAGAAGAAAGGATGCTAGGGCAATTTCCTGCCTCTCAGGGAAAAGTTAAAAGCTCTTTTCAGGCATAGTGAAAAGCTGGAGGGAGGGAGAGAAGAAAGGGAGGAGGAAAGATGGAACAATCCTCAAGAGGAAGAGTGAGGACAGAGGGAGAGAGAAGTGTTAGAAACTTCAAACACTCAGGGAGCCAGATGACAACAGTGCCTTGGGACCTGTCTTGGGGGGACTTCCGTCTTGTAATCCTTTGCCTGAATCCTCAAGCCACATTGGGTGCTCTTGACTATTTCATCCCTTTTGACAATTTCCTCTCCTTGGCTTAGGAAGCATTTTTCCTTAAGGCAAATCATGAGTGTGTCACATGGAGACCCCTGACTCTTAGGATAACTTGTGTCACCCTCTGAACCCCCTACATGTCAGGAGATGGCTACAGGCCAACCTCTGTTGACTATACCACTTAAGTGGATCTAAACTACCCCCACCCCTTGTCTACATTGTCACAGCTCTGAGTCTGGTGGGTTTTCCCCATCTCTCACTAGTACAGTTGCAGTAGCTTCCCAACTGCTCTTCTTGGCTCAGGCCCTTTCCCTCTACTTTCCCCACCATGCTGCCTGCTCTCAGACCTGCTGAATTCAGACTGGGTGAGACCCAGTAATCTGCATGTTTAACAAGCACCCCAGTGACTCTGATATACTCCACACTTAAAGAATCACTGGTTACAGGGCTGAGTCCACAATATGGCTTTTAAAATTCTTCCCACTCTCCCAATGCCCACTGTTTCCACTTCAAGCAACACCCACTTTCCTGCTTTGACACCTTTGTCCACTGTGCCCTCTCCCTCCCACCTCCCCATGAATCCCCTGAATCCTCTGCAAAGTCATCCTGATGCCCTCCAGCCATGTAAAATCACACCCTCATTTAATTAAGTTCCCATAATACTTAAATCTCATGAAGGAACATGAAGCCACCGAGAAGAAAATATATCAATATTCCTCGTTCGCTTTTTTTGGATGGTGTCCAAAGTTATTTTGACTTAAAAAGTACCAATTTCTCTTCAAAAGGTCAATACAATCAATATACTTCACCCATAATGAACCAAACTCCCAAACCAAGGATACTGGTTATCCACAGAGGGTTTATTTCCACCTTAGTCCCCTGACAGGAGAAACAGAGTGCAGAGGCCCCTTACAGAGTACAAAGCATGCGATATTAAATATATAAAATATAGCATCGTCTACATGCACCATTCATAGATACAAGAGTATTCTGATGAGCCGATTGGAAAAGTGGACACTTCCCAATTGTTCTCTTGGAATTCCTCTTAGGGTCTTCTCCAGCTGCCTTGGTCTGATGGAGGTTTCCAGGAGAGAGAGTTCTATGGAGTAAGACAATCTACCAGTGAGGCCAGAGAGAGGTTGCTGGCCATCAACAGGGTGTTGTCATCAAGAAGAGGGGATTTTATGACTTCCTTTTATAGATGGGGAAACTGAGGCTCAGAGAGGAAAATGATTTGTCAAAGGTTAAACAGCCAGTTGAAGATCTAGGGCTAGAACTTATGACTCCTATCTCTCCATCTCTTTTCACAACTGTTATGAGTGAGCCTCTGCTTTCCTTGACCTTGGCCATTGGAAAGAAGAACAGTGGATCCCTGTAACCATCCTTCTGGTGAATTCTTCACTGAGCCTAGGTCCCCGGGTTGTGGGGCAGCCTGGCAGGATTTGGGTGACTCCTAATGTCCTAAGTCCACTCTATCTTCTATTTTTCTTCCCAGAAGCACAATGGGGTACAACGTGAGTCTTCTCTTTTTCCAAGTAACAGCCAAATCTCCATATGTGGCCTGGGCATCAGGATCAGGTAGTCTTTCTTGATTATGCATTCCAGGGTTGGAAGGTTGCTTTGTGCTTGTCTGGAGTAGCAGGTGTTGATACCTTATGGTGTCAGCTTGTATTTGAGAGTGGTATATGGGCCCATATGATGTTTTCTTGGTGGACAGTAGGAACTTAAGGGTTTGGGGAGCCTCCTGTTGCTATTATTCTCCCCCAGTCACCATAAACATTCCCAGCTTTCCCTTGGTTCTTTGAAATTCCTTTAAAGGGGAACATAAAGAATAAGACTTGTACAGCAAGAAACTTGTAAGAGAGAAACTCCAGAAACAAAAATGCTCTGAGGTGTTACACGATGAGAGAGAGTCTTCCAGGCTCTGATCTTTGTCTCCCAAACCTGAGTGGTTCTCTCCTAGTGGAGTGACTAGACTTGGTGCAAGCCCAGAGAGAAGTGCTGGGTAACATATGAATACAGACTTTAGTTTAATGTAAGAAATCATTTCCTAACAATCAGGTCCAAGATCTCTTTCATCAACAGGGGGCCCAATGGGTTTGACAAGTGGTTAGGAGTGAATAAAAACCAGAGTAAAGCTTGCTCTGATGAGGAGTGTTTGATTGGGCCAGAGGTCCTCTAGTCTAGCTCCCATTGTATTGTTGGAGAGATGAGGCCAAGAGAGGGGAAGGGACTTAGCCAAAGTCATGGACCAGGTCTCTTGTCCAGAGTCTTTTCCCTTTACCACACTGCTGCCTCTCAGGGTCCTGGGGCTGACTCAAGAGGACTAGTGCCCTGGTAGGTCAGAGTGTTGCAGTATTTTTGGTCTGATGGGTAACATGGAGTGCGTTGTCGGAAGTGTGTGCTGTAGCATCACTTGGACTGGGGTGGGGAAGGCAGGTCCTGATAAAGTAAGTCAATTCACCGCTCTACCTGGAGCTCCCCCACACCTTGTGGGGAGTTCATCTCCTGCCACACCCAGTCCACATAGTTGGAGACCTTTGTGTAGACTCCATACACCTGCTTGCTGCCACATTCTTCAGGGCCCCCCCAGGACACCAGGCCTTGAACCACCCAGCGCTGGCTCAACTCATCAAGGATAACAAAGGCCCCACCACTATCTCCAAGGCACGTGTCCTTGCCGCCCTCATAGAAGCCGGCACAGAACATGTTCTCCGTGACACTATAGTTGCCTGAGCGGGACTCATAACTGGCTTTGCACTCAGCATGTGGTACCACAGGTAACTTAACATACTGTAGGACATCTGACAAGGTTCGTGTGCCACTGCTGATAATCTCATCCACTGTCACATTGGGATTGGAGATGCCCCACCCGGCCACCAGGCCCAGCATGTGTGGAGCTGGGCCTTCAGGCTCAGGCCTTGGAAGGCAGACAGGCATGACATGGGGTCCCAGGGGTACCGGCCCCTGTAACTGCACTAGAGCTATGTCGTGATTATAGTTCTGGATGTTGAAGCCTGGGTGAAGCACCACTCGGGCCGCTGAGCTGTTGACAGCTCCCGATTTGTCCCGCACATCATGCAGGCCCAGGTAGACAGTGACATGCTCCTTGGAGACTGGTATCACTGTGTTGTCTCTGCGCTGGGAGCGGAGCACGTGAGCCGCTGTGAGGATCCAGGACTCAGAGAGCAGGGCCCCACTTCCAAACCACTTGTCATTTGGCACCCTTGAGGTATCCTCCACCACTATCAGGGCCTGCCAAGGGAAAAGACCAGGCTCGGCGTTCCGGCCTCCAATAATCCTCTTGACCAGGTTTGGCAGGGAACGGGAGGGCTGACCACACACTGTAAGGAGACGGAGGAAGTGGGGACAAGAGACAAAGATGGGTTAGATCAGCCATATGAAAAGAGCCACTAAAAGAAATTCAAAACTCACCCACTGTAGATTATGCCACCATGGGACCCTAACTTGCTGAGTTAGGCTGGCCTGGAAGAGCTCTGCCATGGGTCAGTTTAGGTCTAAGTCTCTGTGAGTTAGCCCATCTCCCATTTGGTCTCTTTGGAGATGGTGTCATCTCTGGACCAGATCATTTCATGGTTGGGCTTTGTTCAACTTTTAGCTTGGACCATCTTTAGCCAGGCCTATCAACAGCAGTGGTCACTTCTCCCCTTTCTTCCCTAGAAAGGTATCTCATATCCCAGAAGTCACCCATGCTGTGGGTACTCAGAGTCTTCTGGAAGTTTTCTTTTCATGTCCACAGCCCCAGAGAAATGGAATGAACCTAAAAGACCATTTAGCATCAAACATTATATATATTGGAATGGGCACCAAGATACCTGGATCCTTGGCCTGACTTTTCTATTTCCCATGTCACTCTTAGTTAGTACTCTTCCTCTCTGGATTTCAATCTTTCATCTGTCAAATGAAGCAGTTGACCAAGATAATCTCCGAATTCCAAATTTCTTTAATTATTATTTTGTTTTCCATGGCCCCCCACCCTAGTTTATAGATGAATAATACTCTAGAGCTTAAGAGACTAGCCCAAGGTGGCATGCCTATCAAGTTGAGTAGCACAGCCTCAGCCAGACTCTAAGACAGATGTCTCATCCTTTATCCCACAGTCTTCTGACATATTAAGACCATGGTTATGGGCTCTTAAACTTTTCCTTCTGTGGCTTAAGGGACTCTTTGATACTTGGGTATTAAGGCCCAGGACATACAAGGTAGGCGAAAGGTGGCATAATCCACTAGCAATGATGCATGGGTCCTCCTCAGGGCCACCCATCATTGCTCCCAGGAGCCCTGTAATACCTTCAAGGGAAGGAAAAGGGTCTGAGAAAACTTCGTTCCACTGAGTTGCACCCCAAGCATGCACATGTACCACCAGCCTCCTTCAGTCAAATGCCTCTGGCTCATGAGCAGAGGATCTTCAGTACCAGGCCCCCACTGGCTAAGAACAAATTTGCATGAGCCCTTTCCAGGCAGGGAGCTTGAGCCTGGGAGGTGAGACTGGTGCAATGGCCAGGTTCCACTCCTTGACCCTAGATGCTGTCAACAATCCTTTAGAGACCAGGGAACATTTGTATTTTCTTTGCAATTTGGGGAGGGCAGGCTTTCAGCAACCCACTGCCTTTCGGGTGCTCTTCTTCCTGATGCTGGATGCTTCTTGCATGATTCTAGGGTGCCCTGACATTCACCCCAGGCCAGATGTGAATAGGCCTTTGTAATTCTGTGGCCTGGCCTTTCAAAATTGAGGGCTGGCCTCCAATTATAAGCAGCAGCCTACAAGGCAGGTCTGTGACAGGCTCTGCATAACAATTCATTTACTGCTAAAAGGTCCTTATTTGGTGAGGGACACATAGATAGCTCTGTCCATGGTCACACAAGGTTCATAGCCAGCACTGAATGATGCCTTCCTCCATCCGAGGTGCCAGTGTCATACCCTGGGTCCCAGAGGGCAGAGCCAGAAGAACCCCAGAGAATGGTTAACTTACAGATGAAGAAATGGAGGTTCAGAGAAGCCAGCTGACTTATGCAAAGTCATTAGTGGCAAAGAAAAAATAGAACCCATTTCTCTTGACTTGGCTTCATTTCTCCACTAAAATCTGTTTTCCTCCCTGATGTGCTCTTTCTTTTCAAGAGGTGGAATGATGCAACAAGTCTTTGTGTTGTAAAAGCTCATTGAAATGGAGTCCTTTTTTTTTTTCTTTGCCACATTACCCTGGCTGGCCTCAAACTCCTGGCTCAAGTGATCCTTCTGCTTCAGCCCCCTGAGTAGCTGGGACTGTAGACATGCACCACTGCACCTATCTGAAATGAAGCAGTTGGTTTATATAACCACGTCAGAATCATTCTTACTGGCTACTGCCATTCTCTTCCCAGTCTTTCCTGGGGTAAAGGAATATTATTGACATGTTACAGTTCAGGCTAGACTGAAGTCAAATTTGGGTCTAGAAGATGGTGGGTACTGAGACCCTTAAAACAAACAAGTGATGCTCTTGGATTCTGAGTGCATGAGGATGACATAAAACATGGCAGTCTTGCGTTCATCTTTCATCTCTGCCTCTAATTCTGGTAGCTTAGCACAGCACAAATCATTACATCATTCTGATTTTTAGGTTTTGAGTTTTTTTGTTTTGCTTTTTTTTTTTTTTTCAGTACTGGCACTGGGAATTGAACTCGAGTCATTGCACTTGCTAGGTAAGTGCTCTACTATTTGATCCATGTACAGTTTTTTTGCTTTTTTACTTTGTTTTTTAGATAGGCCCTAGTGCTTTTGCCTGGTCTAGCCACAAACCATGGTTCTCATATCTCTGACTCCCAAGTGGTTGTGATTACAGGTGTGCACCACCATGCCCACTCCCTGATCCTTAGTTTTCACATCTGTAAAATAAAGGCAAAAGTAATATCTGTTTATCAAGCCCTCTGAAAACTGGACTTTATGATGCTAGATAAAATGGCTTTCTCCATTCTGACTTGTTTCCCGATTCCATCTAGTCTTTCAGGAGGAAAGAATTTGGAAATTTCTGGCCTGGTCCAATGACACATCAGGGTTCTGCCCAATTCTGGGTGTTTAAAAGAATTTTGTGACTCATTTTGTCCAAGATGCTTTGTTACAAACAGAGGGTGATGGTCATTAAGAATCATAGGTTGTCATGGACCTCCTGATCCTGTTCCCTCACTTCTGAGGTATAGACTCCTAGCCTGAGAGAGATGAGATTACCTACCAAACATCCATGTTAGGAGACAGCATTACCAGGACTAGATCCCAGCCCCTGACTCACGGCCAGTGAGTTTGCAACATGGCTTCCCAGGGTAGAATTGCCTCTAGAGCTCATTAGCCCACATTTTTTTTTTTTAGTAAAAAGGAAAACTGAGCCTCCAGTTTGCCACAGCTCCATCATTCTCCTCTTCTTTGAGACTTCACCACCACTGCAGTCCTTGGGTGTGCTCATGGACAAGCCAAATTGAAGTATGGGATCACAAACTTTTTCTTGGGCATAAAGACCTCTTAGGTGAAGTCTTTCTTCATGGTGCTCACCCTTCCACTCCTGAACAAACACACGAAGCTTTTTCCTCCTTTTCTGGGTCCCATTGCACCTCTGAAGACTGGGAACTGACCCTCAAATGCTAGCATGTTCTACCCATGATAAGGATCAATGGTAGAAAACGCCTTAGTCTTTCCATTTAAATGTCTAACCTAATATCTAGATGTCCACTGAGTGAATAGTGAGGGTTACTAAAATGTACCATTCGTATTACACATTACCTCAGTTTATTCAACATTGTAATTCAGTAAAGTACAAAGGCCACCCAATGCTTCACCACACTAAAAAGCTCCTGCGTTCATGTAAATGTGCATATGGAATTAGGAAAGACAATTAATTTGCAGTGTTCCTTAGTGCTGTCTTGAATGGTTGTTTCATTTGATTTACTACTGTTGTTGATTTTTTTTAATTTAAATAATGCATAAATTACTGTGTTGTGAATATTAAATTTAATTTTTGTGAGTTATTTATTTAACCCTACAGTGTGTGTGTGTGTGTGTGTTGAGGCTGTATTTTTCTAAGTTGATTTGAATATGTCCACATTATGACTGCAATGCAAATCATTCATAGTTTTAATACTAAAGCAAATATCCCCAAATCTATATTATAGCAATGCTTCCCATTACCACTAAATTCTCTTTCCCTTTTAAAGTGGGATCAGTAGATTAAGCATGAAGGCAGCAGTCAGAAAGTCTTGCACATATTCCCCTTTGGATCCTTACTCTGTCCTTTGATTATTTGTTATTTGTCTTATGCTGTCATCTTCTTTACAGCCTGGTGAGAGCTCAAGGACAGGGTGTCCACTTTCTTGATTTCCCTGACACAATAGCAAGTGCACACACAAGCTGCTGGATGAAAAATCTGGTGGGAAGGGACTGAAACTACACAAAAAGTTGACAGGAGGACTCCTGGCACAACAGAGCAAGCTGAGTATAGAAGCTGGTTAGTTTGAGAAGGTGTAAGGGTAGGCTTCTCTGACCTTTAACTTTCTGAAGACATCTGTTAAAAAGTAATCAAAGCATCTTCCCCTTCAACTCCCCAGTAACAGCCAAAGCACTTGGGGCCCTAAGTACTTGGATGGGAGACTTTGAGGCAAAGGATTTGTTGGGTGAGGTACCTGGAAGGCAGGCGGGCAGTTTTCTCCCAAGTACTTCATTTATCCAGGTCCCATGGGCAGAACAGGTATATGTACCTGGGGGAGTGAAAAGGGTGGGAGAAGAAAAAGAAAGTGATTGATGGGGAGCACACAGAAAATAGGTTTGGGTTCTTTTTCTTATTGTACTGGGGGTACATTGTGACATCTACAGAAGCTCTTACAATATATCATAGTTGAATTCACCCCTCCATTATTCTCCCAGGTTTGGGCTCTTAATTTCTCTAATATGGATCATTGCAAAAACCTCTCAAATAGTCTCCCTAGAGTCATTTTCTCTGAGACAGTCTTCTCTGCAGCCCTGAAAAATCTTTCTAAAATGAGAATAGGACTACGTCCTACTTCAACTCAGAACTACCAATGGATCCTCATGGTCCTCAAAAATAAGTGTCACACTCCTCAGGACAGTGCCCCAAGCACTGCAGAATCTGACCCTTGCCTATCTGAGGGCTACTTCCTGCCCTGCCTCTCAATTCCCAGCCCCTGGCAGGTGTCTCCTCCTTGTTAGTCACAACAACCTTGGCTTACACAGCTCTCTGCAACCACCTGCCCTTCCCTCCCTTCTCCACTCAAATGCCACATTTGTGTCCACCATTCCATTTAAGTCTCACAATAACTCTGTGAGCTATGTCACTGTTCCCTTATTGAGATGTGAGGACTTGGAGACTTGGAAAAACTAAGAGTGTTGTCTTAGAGCTTGTATGCTACAGGCACAGAGCAGATGGGCCTTCTCATCTCCCTGATGGGGATGATGAGTACATGTCGGGGGGTATTTGGGTGACATTCTGCAGAGTGGTGATACATAAAGTATTTCTCCTCCTAATTCACTCCCCAACATTCACAGTGGCAATGAACTGGCAATTTCTGGCCCTTCCCCCTTTGATCTGTGGACTTTGCCCAACCCCAAGATGAGCCAAGGATATCCCTGACAGGAGATATGGAGAGTCCCAGATGGGGATGGCTGCATCTGTACTTGAGTCTTAGTCTGAGGATGTACTGGGCTACCTGGTCAGATAGACAGATTTGCTCCTCATTCCCTCACTCCTCCTAGAATCCTGTGCACACTATAAGAACAGATCTTTGAGGAAGGGTTCCTACCAGGCATGGTGAATGGCTCTGGTCTGGCCATCCACAAGCCAAAGCAAACACTGGCTGAAGCAGCAACACTTGCCACTTTCTGGAAGCCCCAGTTCCTCTACAGGCAACATGAAGAAATTTATTTTGGGAGATCCTGGGCTTCCTTGAGGTTTTCATTTCATCCCCTAGAATGACTCTGTGCTCTCCCAACAAGGTCTATACTCATTAGTAGAATCACTGCTAGATTTAAAGTGAAAAGAAAAGGCCTGGGTTTTGGTTCTGATACTCAGTCTCTGCATCTCTAAGTGGACACAATAGTATGAGTTCATGAGACCTGAGACTCAGATGTGATGTGTGGAAGAATACCTTTTGCATTACAAGGCTCCACAAATTGGCAAGGGTTTGCTCCTTTCAGAGCTATTTGAGACCACAAACTAACCCTGAGGCCCAGAGAGTGTGTGGTGGGAGTGGGATGGTTCAGCATGGAGGCTTACCTGTGATATTGTGAAGCATCCTATAGTAGGGCTGCTGGCAGGAGTATCTGATCTGAGATTTGTATGTAGTGAGGTTGTTCTTTGAGGAGAAGATGACCAGCCCATGTTCCAGCCCTGCTGGGACTCCACAGTCTACAACTGAGAGAGAAGAAGTGAGGCCCCTTAATTACCTTTTGGTCTTCCTCTTGGGGCTGTCTGATGGACCTGTTTTATACAGATGTGCAGAATATGCATCACAGAGAACTCCAGAAGGCAATGTTACAGTTTATCTAAATGGTTCCCAGGGAACTGTGCAGCATTCAACTTGTGCAGTTACCAGTAGTATGGCTTAGGAAGTCTCTACATTGTGGTACCACTCTATGGTTAATCACCTGGCCTAGTCTCAATTTCAGGGGAAGATCTGCTAAGATTTAAGGAAACCTCAGTGTCATCTCCATCATAACTGCTTTCCTTGACTTCCAGTTCTATTATGTAATCCTCTCTGCTTTTTCTGCCCAATAAGTACATAGCTCAATGAGAAAATTCTGCCTGACCTGAACCAAAGAATGTTCCATTTTTCCAGTTCCAACAACAGGCTGAATAAGAACAGTTAATGTGCTCACATTGGAGCTTGGCACCAAAAAAACAAAACCAAACAAATAAAAAAACCCAGCTTCAGCAAGAATATACAGCCCCACCCTTCTGGCTTTCTACAGACAGCTCATTTGACCCACAGAAAGCAGAAGAGGATCAGGGGTGGATCAACTTTTAGTCTTCACCTGCTCGTTTTCTCCAATCATCGGTGGCAGGGTGCTGGGGATGGTTGTAGCCGTAGTACAGGACATGACCAAGTGTACCCGGTTCTCAGAGATTGGGGAACTTGCCAGTTTAGCTAGGTCTTAAGGGAGTTGCCGGCACAGATGGAGTCCAGCATGAGTCAATCCAAATTCAGGCCATCTTTTCATGGTCACATTAGAGGCTGGGGACCCAATTTATTAACATCTTTTCAGGGACTTCCTTTAGAGGATGATGATGATTATGATGCTATTTTTTTTAGGAAATCCTAATCTTAGGCATAGCAGTCTATGCCAGAGTTGAGGAATCATAGAATTTCACAGTTTGAAAGGAACTTTATGTAGGCAATGTAGAATATCCTCTTTCTGTTACATAATAGCCCAGATAGGACACTTGGCTAATCTAAAGTCATCCAGCTCAAATATTAATTAATGAAAAACAGGACTGTAAAATAGCTACAGTGTATTTGTGTTTCTAATGGGAGGGGGGAGGGTAAAGGAAGGAAGGAGATTAAGGTTGTGGTATACGGTAGATGGACTTCATATAACTGCATGAAACAGAACTAAGAAACTTCTTGCAATTGCTTTACCTGGGGCAGAGAGCGGGCTGAGGGGGAGAGATAATGGGGGCAATGTAAATAATGTACAATATAAGTCTAATCACAATTATCACTATGAATATCTTAATTAAAAAATGAAGTCACCCAGCAAGTTAGTGTTAGAGTGAGAACTGGCTGTGACCTTGAATTCAGTGCTCTTTGGTTAAATGATACTAGTAGCTCCAAAAGATCTGTTTTCCAGTTAAATTACCCAAACTAGGTATTAGCTGGTTAATGGTGAACATATTTCCAGAGCTCCAGTTAAGTTCCACTTCCTGAATTTTGCCTGTTCACCTTAAGAATCAGAGAGGGGAAATTTACCTCTGAGTGCTAGTCAGATATTGTAATTTCAATTTTAGGACTTCAGATTCATCTTTTTGATCAACTAGACAGTTATGTAGCTTAAAATATGTATCATTCCAGTACCCTTCCAGTGAGAGTAAAGGAATGAAGGAAGCGAATAAATGAAGATATTTCTTATCCACAAGGAAGACAAAGCCAAAAGGGCTGGTTTTGTCTTGGCCTCTACTCTCTGTGGACAAATCACGTCCATTTGCTTTGATCACTCCAAAGTACAGTTGCTGAGGTAAATGTGTGAAGAGTAACACCGGAATAATAAGTAATAATATTTGTTATTTGAAACTGCAAATAATCATAAATTAATTTTTCTGCCAAGACTCAAAGCAGATTGCCCCAAACCCTTAGGATGCCCTCAATACGTGCCTAGATATTGATATTACTCTTGTCTCACTTCTAGCAGTTCCTTTTGTTTAAAGTATCCTCAAGGCCCAACTACCTGGTCCCTAGTGGAGGTATTCCAGGATTGGCCTTGGATTTGTATGGCTGATGCTGGTAAGGAGATATTTTCTAGGTGAGGGCCTACTTTCACATTGCTGCAGAGAAGTGACTACCCACTGATACAGCTAGTCCTACAGCCAGAGAGAGAGATGATAACCCTTGGAAAACAGAGGGTTGTGTCATCTTGGTTGCAGCAGGTGGGGAAGAGTGCATCTTCTTCCCAAGTGTATAATGACAGACAAAAAACCCATGTCTCTCTGAAAGTAGAAGCAAGCTTCTCTCAAGATGACCCCTGCCCAGCTCTGCTGGCACAGTCAGCACATCCAATGTCCTCAGCCCATCATCTTTGCTTTAGGAAGTGTGACCACTTCCATACCCTGGAATCAAATATCCTTCTCCTTCCTGTTTTCTTGGCCTCCTTTGTTCACCACTCTCTAGTGTGTGCTGTACCACCCTACCCTCTGTTCTGCCCTGTCATTTCTTGCTACCATTTATGTTCCTTCAGACATTTTCTTGGCCTGAAGTTCTGAGCATGCTTTGTTGTAATACAGGGACTTCAGAGAGAAGCATATATGAGCAGATCGCCCTGGCACTCAGAACCAGGGACTAGGTCTCAGACCTCCTTCCCAGTCTCATGTTCTTCCTTCCTCTCAGTGCATCTCTACTCCAAAGTCACCAGGACCTTCAGCGTGCCCCGTTCTCCACTGCTGCCTGCCCTCTAGGCTTTGCTTGTGCCATCCCTACTGCCTGGGACACCCTGTGTCCATGTGGCCACCTGGAGGCCTTGAATAAACACCACTTCTTAAAAAGCCTTTTTCTAGTCTCTCTAACTGGACAGGAGAGCTTCTTTGTTTTGGGATTCTTTATTTGTGTCTCTCTGATGAACTTACTTATGTTGCCTGGTATTACAATTATTTAGGCACATATGAAATTTTCCTCTTCAATTGTGATTCCCTTTATCACACTGGGCCTAATGTCTCTAATACTCTGCTGGGTTGCAAACATTTGTTTAGCTGATACTTGTCTTTAGTAGCAAACCCCTCTCTTCTCTCAGTGGCACTTGTACTCTAGGATGGCACTCCAGTCTCCAAATTATTCATTGCTCATTCCTGCAGGATCTGCCCCCACCAGAGGCCACTTAACATCACATAGATCAGGTAGCCACAGACCAATGCAGGGCTGCTCTGATATGAATGTGCAGGCCTTGTTCAGGCTGAAGCCAAGATTCTGGAACACAAGCTACCACTCCTCAGCCTTTCTTTGCCACTGTTTATGACCCAGTGTTGTCCATGGCCTTGAGCTCAGGACCACTGCTTCCATGTGTGATGCCTGTCTTTTTAAAGTGCTTATCAGTGAATTTTAAGAAAGACAAGACTTGTCAGCGCAGAAGAAAGAACCTCTAGTGATAGACTTCTAGCCCTTTATTAAATATGGGAGGAGGGGATACTTTTGTGGACAAAAAAATATCCAGGTTCTCAAAAATCCACACTATATGAATTATAATTCATTTTACCTACTCATAGCTGTTAAGAAAGTAGCAACAGATAAAAATTTTAAAGTCATACAGTCACTGGCATTCGGATCCGTTTTAACTTGAAGTGCCGAATGGATCAGAAGCCTGGGCCCATGCTGGTCTAGGCAGTGAAAGGCCACATGATTGAATATTAAATCTTGTGTTTCTAGAACCAAGGGCATTTTTTTCCTTTTGAGAAGAGTATAGTCCACTTAGAGGTCCTAAAAAAAAAAATCACCCATTGTCTTTTCATTGTTTTGTGGAGTCATGTTTGAATGATGAGTGAGGCATAGTTTGCTCTCAGACACGCAGCATCTTTAACTGCTGAGGCTGTTATTGCCTTGCTCAGCATCCATTCTAATCCACCTTGAGATGGGCAATGGAGTGTTGGCAGGTGGGGAGGGGTGGAGTAGCTCTGGGGCCGGGGGTCTTTGTAGGTGATCCATTCCTGGGTGTCTGTATTGTGTGGGGCTCCCGTCATTCACTCTGTCACTTGCTCTGACTCGAATTCACTCTCCAAATTGATCTCGCTTTCTGTCACCATGGTGAAGTCAAAGTGGGATCATGAAACAAAGAGGAAGGAAGCAGAGAGAGAAAGAGGGAGAGAAAAAGAAAGAGAAGAGAAAGAAAAATTAGCAAGCAAAGCAGAAATAGTTCATGCAGGAAATACAGAAATCACTCCACAAGAATTGATTAAGAATGCACAGTTTAGGTACAGCTAGTGGGAAGGACAGTTGGGACTGTTGAATTTGTACCATTCTGAGAATTTGCACAACCATATATTCTGGCTCTTGAGGGTTTTAAAATGCCCCTGCAGGGAGCTCTGCATTCATCTGGTCTGAATTCTTATTTGACAGAAATCATTCAGAGTATATCAGGACCTCTCACCACAACAAAGTGGAGGCAGGGCCTGGACAACACCCATAATTCCCTCTTCCTGTTCAGGTGCGCATTTCTTTATCATGCTTGGCATATGTCTTGTCTCTCCCCAGCCCCTCCCCTCAAAATCTCTGGAACTTCTCAGTCTCATCTGCTCTTTTTCTTTAGGACCTAACACAGTACATGGTGCAAAAAGCTGCTCAATAGTATGTATGGGTTGTGCAAAGATACTATATGTGTCTAAATGGGAGTTTTAATAGTCCTAATCCAGACTATTGTGAAAAAGTTGGGTCACATTTTCTTAACTACTAAATGGTAGGTGTTCTGTCACATTCTGATATAAGTCACAAGAAATAGTACTAATCACATAATAATAGTACTGTCTTACTACATCAATGTGTCCCTTACAATAAAATGCATGCGTGTTTCATCATGGAAAAATATTAATAACATTTCATACTTTCCAAAAGTGTGAGTGAGAGAAATCAAACCTTCTTCCAAACAGAGTTTTGGGCTGGGAGAATTAACCTTTTATTGAGCTTTAGCTTGTTCCTGGCATTTCCACAGATATGGTATATATACTAACCCAGAGAGTCCTTACAACAATCTTGAAGGCAGGAGACTGAAGCCAAAAAGTATGAGTAAATCACTTAAGGACACTCAACTGGTATGCAGAACTTCTAGAGTCCAGAGCCAGATTCTGTCCTGAGTACCTGAAATCCTCCCTTACTCTTTTTAAAACAACCTTCCTTTGTCCTGTAGAGGGCCTGGCCCAGAACTCAGTCACAACACTTCATATTGGAAGTTGGAGGAGCATTTGAGTTCCTCCTGACTGGATCTTTTCTATCTCAATTCCCTACAGAACTCTGCACAGGCAGAGCCCAGTAAGTGTTTGGTGAAACTTTTTGTTGAAGCTATTAAATGCCCTTCTTTTCCCACAAGGACCTGAACACAGCCACATCATCATATGAAAAAGAAAACAAGCACATTTTGCTTCCAAGTGTTGCCTTGGGAGTACCTCCTAGGGGCAGCAGAGGGGATCTGTCTGCTTGCTGAATGGGAGCCATTTAGGAAAAAAGGGAAGAGGATAGAGCTCCAAAGTTTACATGAAAAGTCATGAAATCAGATAGGTGGGACCAGACCTAACTCTTGGGTTCTCAGGTCTTCATTCTAAAACAAATCCTTTCTTCCCAGCTTCTTTCTTCCCTGACTCTGTAACTATACCTCTTCTTTTCACTATTGTTTGTAGGTTTCTAAAATTGTGGTCCTTACTAGTCTTACATTGAAATCACCTGAGTGTGGTGGTAAGGGGCTAGTGGTTGGAAATCTGTAATTTTATAAAACTCAACAGATGATTTATACAGACTATATTACTTTGGTATAAATTCTAGAATATTAAAGCCAGTCCAAACTTTTTACAGTTGAGGTAAAATATCTTGTTCATAGTCACAGAGTAGGTTAGGGGCACATAAGGCAAGAACTTTTCCCCAAAAGCCAGTGAAGTGCTATGATTTTTACTTTATATAAGCCCACTGTGCTGACACAACAGCCCTTCCTGCACACCCCTAAATCATGAGCTAACCCGTAAGTCTTAGTGGGTGTAGATAATGGTCATGTAGAGACATGCAAGTTCACTCAGCTCTGGACACCCATGTCAAACTAGCTTTTTAAATTAGCAATTGCAAGAACTCATTTCAAATCTGGAAACATGCTATTCCTTTATCAAGTTTGGTAACCTGACTATAGATGGAGTAAAATTAGTACGTAGAAGTGAACTAGGGCCCATAAAACGGTTCTTTTGGTATCCTAAAATCTTATTGCTGAAAGGGACATTAATATACTTTCTGTCCAGCTCTCACATTCTGCCAACTTCCTGCTCCATCCCTCGCAGAGAGCTCTGGTCAACCTTTTACCCTTGCATGTTCTCTGCCCCAGTCCCACCGGTGTGAGGGAACTAATTTATCATTGGAATCAATCATTTTGTTTTCTTACTTTTGCAGGTGGGAATCTCATTACTCCATGTCCCATCCTTCAGACACTCTATCTGGAATGTGTCCATCACCACATTATCCTGAGCAGAAACCAGAAGGGAGTGAGAAGAAGGAAAAGAATGGAGTCAATGGTTGTTTACCAGCAAAATTAAAAATTCAAACCTATCTGTCTTTGACTAGGGTTTTCCTTCCATGGAAATTCTAAGGGCAAGCCTGAAGACAAGAGAAAGATAGATGCTAAATTCATATTTGCCGTTCATACTCTGGAGATAGGCAAGGGCTGTGAAGAGACAATAGTCTCCAAAGGGTAGACTGTGGCCTTCACTCCTTTTTTCAGAGCAATGGTTGTCAAACTCGAATAAGTGGTTGGTACCACCTGGAGAGCTTGGTAAGACAGCCTTGTAGGACTTATTCCTGGAATTTCTGGTTGAGTGGGTTTGACTCCCCCAAGAATTCAACCCAGAATCCAGGTGCTTCTGATTCTGGCAGTTCAGGGACCCCTCCTGGAGAGCAGTGATCCTCCAGTTTGGCTGCACATCTGGAGAACATTAAAAAGGTACCAAGTGCTGGTCCTGGTCCCAAAGATACTGCTTTCACTGGTCTCAAGTGAGACTGAGGAGATGATTTTTTTATTTCTATTATTTTTAAAGATGATTAGCAGAACCAGCACTTCAGAGGCTGGGAGACTAAAGAGTGCCTGTTACCTTGAAAACCTATATTTCTCTTTCCAGTATACCCCACCCCACGCACGCACATCCTATCAGCCTGATAAACTTGTTAAGCTCTGATTTTAAAGCCGTATGGGTCCATATTTTTAAAATTCAAGCCAGCCTATTCTCTGATAAAAGACTTTATCCCCTGGCAGAAATAACAGACAGTCTGGGACACAAAGCATTAGAATTTATGGGACAGCTAGGAAATAGTGTGCTGGCACTATGGCAAGTTGCAGTAGCCCATCTGCCTCGGGAGGCTCTGGAGAATTGTTCTGGTCTGGTCACTCCTCTATCCAGGAGGGCTCTGCACCTTCAGCACTTTGTAGCCTGCATCACAGCTGATGAGCACTTGGTCTTTGAAGGAATATGTGGCTTGCAGGGGCTCAATTTTTCCATGGACAGGAGGCTGTAGCTCTGGGCACTCATTTCCTAGTGGAAAGTAAATGAAAGGACAGCAGGTGACAAAACAAGGAAAAGTATGGCAGTAAAGGGCTATCCCCTAGAAATTGAGGCCTGATGGAGGTACAAACAACACACTGGGCATCAGGGACCTGGACTTGCTGGACCCTGCAGGCGACTTACTCTGCAGCCAGGAGCAAGCACTTTACAACTTGACCTTCTATTTCCTTGTTTGTAAAGTGAGGAAGCTTCCCAGATGATTTCATTAAAACTCCAAGTTGGGGGGAATATTAAATGTCATTGAATTCAATGTTTGTCCAACACTTTCTTTACAAGGATCCCTATAATTGACTTCCAAGATCTGTTTGCATCCTTATAGGGACAGGGTACTCAATTCCTCTGAAGCCTGCATCTTCCACACATGGATGCCTCTGATCAAATGACCAATGTTTTCCTATTCAGCTGAAATTTGTGCCCTTGCAATTTTTACTCACTTGTCCACCCAGGATGACCCCAAGAGACCTTTCTTCCTAAGACCCTTCAAAGCATTAGAAGTTATGATCATATGCTTCTGAGCCTTCTCTTCAAAAGGTTAACTCTAATGAGATCCTCAAGGCCTGGACCAATCCCTGACACTTTTTCCTGGACAAATTGTCCTTTTAATTTCCTGTGCACTCCTCTTTCCAGACTGGGCACTGGATATGATAAGGCAGGCAGAGCCAGGGTTTCTGAAGTGGATTAGTCACTCCTGTTCTTCCCTGAGTTTTGGGCCAAATGGTTCCATCAGGGTTTAGGCCAGAACTGGTTGCTTTGGGAACTAAGAGTGGGACCTGTGAGCTTTGCCAATCTAGGGGCTTACATGGAGGCAACCACCATAATGAAGTACTCAGAGCTCCAGGATTGCACCCAAATTCCAGTCCCAGACTTAGTGAAGGTTGGGGCTGAAAGGGGCATCACCAGACCTAATGAATGACTATGTGAGGGGTGTAGCTCAGGAACTAGGATAACTTTTTTCCATTTCCCATGTAATGCTGACGAGCAGACAGTTTTGAAAACTGCCAGTCCAAGTCCAACCTCATTGCTACCCTGGCACCCATTATATAGCTAGGAAGCAGAGTCAGGAGAGAACATGTGCCTTCATCCCAAGTTACCCAGGAGTTCCACCAGGTCCCCAGAAGAGTGCTAGGCCTACACCCCCTCCTCCTTGCCCCATCTCCCCGTGAACTCTGAGCACAGCAGCTCAGTGTGACCAGGGAGGGGAGAGGTTACCTGCAGCCCTGTATGAGAGCCTCCAGCCGCGGTTCTCCCCAGAATTGTCACTGCGGAATATGATCTGGACACTATGGGTCTGTGTGCTGATGGGTTCTGGGGCTTTCTCTCCACAGAAAGGCCCCAAAACCACTGGGCCAGCTTTAATCTAAGGAAAGCAATACAGAGAGAAGAGTCACACCTGACAGCTGAGGAGGTTGCCACAGGCAACTTTCTACACTGCACTCTGTTGTTTTCTGGAATCCTTGGTGGGAAACCATGGTATTCAGTCATGTTTTTAGTGGGCTTTCCCAATAACTAAATAGTCTCATCTACACTCTTTCACTCATAATTTCCCATGGTCCTGGATGCGAACAAGGCAAGTTAATAATCCCATGACTAAAGATGAACATGTTGTGGCAGAGTTCTCTCCCATGCACAAAATAGACGGGTACCTTCTCTCAAAGAACTGGCATTCTAGTTGTAGGAGACTAACAATAATAATACACAAAATAATCATAGGCTGCTATGTAATACAACCATATGCTATGCCTATACTTTATGTATTAAAATCTATTTAACCGATAGAATTCATCATTTATAGAGTAGATAGTAATATAATAATAACTGCAAATAGGTGGTCAAGGAAGGCCTAAGATGGGATGACAGTGGATCTGATGTGTAGGATGAGTAGGAGTTTGTCTTTTGAAGAGGAAGAAAGACCACCTTCTAGGCAGAGAAAATAGCACAAATAAAGGCCAAGGCCAAAGGTAGGAAAGAGTTTGGCAGGTGTGAAGAACAGGGAAGACACCAGTTGGCAAGGACAAAGAGTGGCATGGCATGAGGTTGGAAAGGCAGGTAATGGCCACATCTTGTTGAGATATTTAAATTGAAATTGAAATACAATCTTGAGCTAATCTACATTTTATACCCATGGATACTGTGTAGGGCAAGGATGGGAATGGGAATGCTTGTTGGGAAGTTTGCAGTTGAGCGGAAGGGCAGTACTAGCATTTGGATGAGGATTATGTATCTACTTCATTGTGGCAGAAGAGAAAGCAATAGTCACTTAGCTGATTCAGAGTCCCCAACTCCCAGTCCTGAGTCCTTCCTATGCATTTATCCCCATTTCCTTTCATCTCTAAGGATCAGGAATGCTTAGCTGGCATTTGGTACTTCTACAATCTTCAGTGACGTCTTTATTTTATTATTGAGAGGGGGAAAAGTGGAGCTCCAATGGATTAAGAGCCTGGACAAGGCTCTCAAGCAACCAGAATTCTAAGGCAGTCCCATGATCTTTAACCCTGGCTACTTTATGATTATGTAATGTTACATGGCAAGGGTGTCTTTGCAAGCAGCAACATGGAAGGACCTGGGAGCAGCTTCTGATGACAAGAGAAACTCCTTGTTGATAGTCACAAGAAGATGGGATTCCAGTTCTGCAACTGTAAGGAACTGAATTCTGTCAACAACTTAGATGATCTTTAAAGTGGATTGTTCTCCAGAGTTTCAAGGTAAGGGCCCTGTGGAGTTGACACCTTGATTTCAGTCTCTGAAAACCTAATTAAGGTCACTAGGACTTCCGATCTACAGAACAATGTGATAGGAATTGCTGTAAACTGTTACATTGGTGGCAATTTTTCACATAGCAATGAAAACCCATGTCTTATGTTTCCCAGCCAAGCTGGAAACCTCTTTCTAGCCTCTAAACTCTTGGATTTCTTTGCTTCTCTCACTATTGGCAGTTCCCTTTGTGGACATCTCATTTTATGGCTCTTTCTGACCTCATTTTCAGGCTCATCTTCCTCTGTCTAGCTCTCAGAATTTATTGTACTCCAGTTTCCATTTAGGACAACTCACTGTCCAGGTGGTTGAAACATTTGGTAGCAGCCTCTTCCCCAGCTCAGTATCATTCCTGAGATCAGACCCCAGTATTCCTTTCTATTGGATGTTCCAGCTGATCACTTTCTAAGAATTGCTGATTTTACTTCCTACTTATCTAAGAACTATCTCCTCCACTATTCTAACCATGGCTCAAATTCAGGCTGCTTTGCAGCATATTTATATTGTGGAGATAACCTCAAATTGAGTGGTTGCTGGCCTGTGGCACTCTCTTTCCTTTTTATTTGACTTTTGCCTACCCTCTTCCTTTAAGAAGGACCAGATATATAATTTGTAGGCTCCAGAGCACAAGGAAAGTATGGGCTTCTTGTTCAAAATGTATTGAGAAGTTCAAGATGGCAACGCAGCACATAAATCATAAATGGGTCTGAGTGCAGAATCCCGTGTAACTGCATAGGGCATACATCCATGAAGTGGAGTCTGCCTATGGTGGACTGTCCCAAAACACATATTTAATCATGGAACTCTCCAACTCAAACTATCCTAGTACCCAGGAAGCTGGTTCTAAATTAGGGAAGATCTCTACATTGGATCTGATAAAGCTAGTAAATGTTATTTTAAATAATGACATTTTGGAAAGCCAGTTACTTGGCCCCTATCTTGGGAAAAGGTGAGAAGCCTTATATTAATTTTCCTAGTTCTGCCAAGATTGTTCAGCGTCCCTAGGACCAATGCCCACTGCAGGCTCACCTTGATATAGTCATAGGGGCAAGCCACCTCAGGATGGTCCTCAATGTCAAAAATGTCTTCAAACTGCAGGCTGATCATGAAACCTTCCTCCAGCTCGATGTTGTAGAAGCATTCAGAGCTCTTAGGGTAGGGGTTGGGGTAGTCAGGGCTGGTGATCATGCCGGTTCTCTGGGTAAAGAGGTTGTCACTGCACTCCACTGTGGGAAACAGCAGAGAAAATGGCACACCACAATCACAGCCACAGCAACCCTTGTTTATCTGTACAATAGTTCCAATGTCCTCATGAGGTAGGCAGGGAAGGAATCACCATCCCCATTTCACAGATGAGAAACTGATGCTCCATTAAGAGAAGTGATTTATCCAAGGTCACACACCTAGTAATTTGCAGTCAAGACTTAAGTCAACACTAAATCTGTCTTTGCCCAGAGCTGTTTACCCTGGGTGACGACCCTTCCCATCAGAGTCTCTGGTACTTTTGGTGACAGGCATGTACTCTGAGAAGGGAGGGTTTGAGATGGAGTTTTCATGTGGATGTCTGTGCCTCTTTGGCCCTGCTCTCCCTTTTGCTAAAACTTCATTTAGGTTTCTGCTCAAAGCCTTCCTGATCCTCATGTAATACAGGGTCCTCATTCTCCAGCCCCTGCTCTTCCTGTGCATCCCAATGTGGTCTACTACCTGACATTATGTCACATACTCACTTACTGATTTCCTTGTCCCCACTATACTGAGTTCTTTGAGTTCAGGGCTTCTTCTTCCCTCCCACCCCCACATTTACTGCCAGCAGGGACCCAGTATTGTGGGAACCTGGCCATGACTTAGTTCTACTGAGGCACCTTTATTTGCTGCTGAGCTTTTGCTCTTTGGTTAACCCATGCTAGAGCTGGCATGTCCATGCTTTCCAAGCCCTTGTTCATCATCCTTATTTGCAAATGGGTAACTTGCAGCCCAAAAAGGTGGTCATGACTAACTTAAAGTCCTGTAGCAATGAGCTGCGTGTTGAAGTTCAGCTGAGGTCTTCTCAATTCCCATCGGTTTTCATTTATGACCTCAAGCATTCTCATGGGGATAATCTCACCTAAAAAGGAGCTAAAATTGTTTTTTGAGAGGGAAGATCTTATCTTATGCATAATGCACAGATAGACATAGAGTACATAAACAGATACCTTACATATCTGCGATAGCAAAAAATAAAAAGAAAAAAAACAGAAAAAATGGCTCATGGAGGCAGGCATGAAAACTAAAAAAAAAAAAAAAAAAAAAATCAGGAAATCTTGCTCTACCTGAAATTTCTTAGCCTTCACTGTACTTAACACATAGTAGAGACTCAAATACTTACTGAATAAAAACAATAGAAAATACAACCCTCTTCAAGAAAATTCTTGCATCTACCTGTTGCTTTTGTTTTATAATGCTCGTGATAGTTAATATTGGTCAACATGGTTAAATTGATAAATGCCTGGGAGAATAGTAAAATACATCTATGGATGTGTTTGTGAAGGTGTTTCCAGGAACAACTAGATTATATGGCTCTGACCTAATGAATGAGTTTATCCATTGATAGATTCAAATTTTGAATAGACTTATGGGAAGTGGGGGAGCTGTGGGATGTTGGAGGAAAGAGGGCACTAGGGGGATTTTTTTTTTTTTTGTTGGGGGACTATCTCTTGCCCTGGTTCCATCCTGTGATGTTTCTGCTCTTCTTCCTATCTGCCATTATCTGAGCTGATCCACCGCACCCTCCTCTCCATGATGGATTAAAACCTCTGAAACCATGGAGCAAAATAAATCTTTCCTCACTTAAGATGCTTCTGTTAGATATTTGATCACAGCAACAATAAGACTGACTAACACTGATTTACCTTGATGGGTAATACATGACTTTATTCAGAAACAAGTAGTTTTTGAAGAAGGAAGAAAAGAACTTTTGTCTCCAGCCTTGCCCTGTTCTACTGATCCCTCAGCTTCCAAGTGAGATTGCAAGCACAGTCCCTCACCCTAAGTCACACTAATCTTTTGGTAGTTCCCCCAAATGTCTCAAGTTCTATCACAGCTCTGAATGCCTGCAGAAGTTGTTCTCCCTGCTCCTTATTCTTTCATCTCTATCAAGGGTCACTGTCTCTGGGAAGCATTTGTCCACTTCTCCAGGCCAGCTCATGTCTGATTGTGCTATGACCATGCTTCCTTGAGCAGTAAATGTAGCATTTACTGCAGTTAACCATTCCTTTATGTGGCTGTTACCCCAGGGGAAGGGGCTACTTTGCAGAGTGGCAGAGCTCTTCCATTTCTCCATTCCTGTCTCAACCTGGGACTATAGCAGTCATACTGCTGGAAGTTGAAAATGAAGAGAGATAGAAAGAATGGGAAATTTTCTTGCTGTCTCTATCTTTGCCTGTCTCTTCCTTCTGTCTTTTGGACTGAGGTTTCCTCTGTCAGAGATGGACTGGGGGTCATAGAAGCAGAGAGGAAAAGGAACCTCTGGGTGAGGCATAGATCATGGCTCAGAGAGAAAGGACTGGAAACCCAGGTTTCCCCTAACTTGGCCATGTTAGTTACCAGCAGCAGGAGAGAGACAGGGACCTGTGGAGCAGACATGCTACCCAGGAATAAAGATGATCTGATAGACTGAGCTTCTCTCATGTGCTCCTTTGAAAACGGAGTCCCAGGTTTCCAGGCTGCATGAGTATTTCAGCATCACTATCCATGTGTTATCTGTGACACTTCTTGACTTCATTTTTTAGTCATCCCTACTGTTATCTGCCTGTCCTCTGAGCCTTCTCTAATCTTGTTTGGAAATGTGCTATATCACAGTGATGTAAAGAATTATTCTGAGGTCCTACCTCTACAGGTCCTGTTGTCCGTGTGAAGGATGTAGCCAAAGCGGCAGGAGCAGTAGTAGCCACCAATGTAGTTGTGGCAGTAGTGGTCACAGGACAGCTCCTCATCCTCCCTCTCCTTACACTCGTCCACATCTGCAGGGCAGGTAGAGCCTCTCAGTCAAGCAATGCATGCATGATGATAACTATAACAACCACCTTTTATAGGTCAATTTGTTGGGTCATTCCTTATGTTGCAAAGTCATGGAAAGAAAATGAATTCATCATCTCATTTAATCTGTACATAAATCTCAAAGGTAGCCATTATCTCCATTTTATGAATGGAAAACTGGGACTCAGAGAAGTTAGGCAATTTACCCAAGATCACAGAGAGCCAGGTTCAAACTTAGGCAACCTGACTTCTGGTGGAGGCGTTATCCTTTAGCAGCTGTGATAATTATTGTGCCAGGCAATAATCTTAGGAAGCAGAACTGTTACCACCATCAATCTATAGATGATGAAACTGAGACAAGGAGAATCCAGATGAGCTGGCTCTAGAGCTTGGGCTCTTGACATCTACTCCATGTTGCCTTTTTCTTTCTTTCTTTCCAAGTCTTGTCCCTGTTAGTTTATACACATTTCTCCTAAATAGGCATATTAAAGATGCTTAGCATCATTAGTCATCAGGGGAATGCAATTTTTTACCCTCCAGAGTGGTTAAAATTTTTTTAATTGACAATGTCTAATGTTGGGGAGGACATGGAGCAGCCAGAACTTTCATAGACTGGTGGACATATATAAATGATATAATTTCTTATAAAACTAGACATAGATACCCAGTGACCCAGCAATTCTATAACTAGACATTTACCCAGGAGAAATGAAAACATATGTTCACAGAAAGACTTGTACAAAAATGTTCATAGAAACTTTATTAATGAGAGCCCAAAATTGGTCTAATCCAGGTGTCCCTTGATGGGAGGATGGAGAAAAAAATATATATTCATACAATGGAACTTATTTTGCCAGGAAAAGTAGTAAATTGCTGATATATGCAATGACATAAATGAATCTCAGAAACATTATGCTGAGTAAAAGAATCCTCATCCCCAACATATATATATATATTTTTTCATTTATGTAAAATTTTAGAAGCGGCAAAAATAATCTATGGCAAAAGAAAATCAGAATGGTTGTTTTCTCTAAGGGAATTGGGAGCAGGAATTGACTGGCAAGAGCATGAGGGAATTTTCTGGGCTGATGGTAAAGTTTACAGTCTTGATAGAATTTGGGTTATACATAGCATACATTTTTCAAAATTCTTCAACAAATGTGTACTTAAGACATACACATTTTACTATATGTAAATTCCACACTAAAAGAAAAACTGGCAGATGTTGAACTCTAGAAAAATTAAATGCATGTTGAAGTATTTAGGATGAAGTATAATGATGGCTGAAATTGCTTTGAAACATATCAAAAAGATGAGTTGGTGGCTGGATAGCAGACAGATAGATGGAGCGCTACATGATAGAGTAAATGTAGTAAGACGTTGAAGGTAGAGCCTATATGGTGAGCATACAGGTGTTAACTGTCAAGGAGAGGGCACAAGGCAGTTTTTGTCTTTATAGAGAAAGGGAGCCTCGGGATGAGTCACCCGGGTCTCCAACTTACCTACAGCCATGTAGTGGGCATCAAAGCCCGTGAATCGTTCCTCATTGGAGAAATCTGACCGGAAAGTGATGGACATGAAGGAGCCAGGGGACAGAACGACTTCCTGTCCAGGGGTCTGTTCTGTATCTGTGGTCTCCCTGCCACAGAAGGTTGCCAGCACCTGGTCTTCAGTTTCTACCTTTGAGGTCAAAGTGAAAGGGAACAAGATGAGAGGCTTCCCATTTTAGCTTCTCTCCAGGAAGCAAGAGGAAGGGACTGCCCGTGGTAGACAAGGCAGCATGAGAAACTCAAAGAGAGGAGATTAGGGACTCTTGGATTTGAAGAAGACAAGTTACAAGTTAAGTCAATGAGACCATCTGATCAGTTTTGTTCAATTTGTTTAGTTCCATCAAAAGTAGCTTGTTATTTGCCATTCTTGTTGCCAACTTAATGACTGATTCATTGAAAATAACTCAATGTTAAATTCAAAAGGAGCTAGATAAGCTTGCAGATGGATTCTTTCTGCAACAGGAACTTACCACTTCTGAAGAAAAGAGACTGTGTATACAATATAAGTATACAGAGTATCCAGTGTGTGCCTGCCACTAAGCAAAGCATGAGATTGGGTAATTGGAGATGAGTAAGGCACAGTGTTGTGTGCAGGATGGCAGTGTTCAGACTGATGAGAATAGGTACAGACAGAGCTATTACACAGTGTGACAAGCCCTTCAGTGGAAGCCTCCAGGAGGTGAAAGATTCCCGCCAGAACATAAACTAGAGGAAATTAGGGCTGTTCTTTTACAGACATGTCCTCAGCACATGAAATAATACTTGACACATAGTCGTTATTCAAAAAATATTAGTTAATAAGAACTAAAAGTTCTAGACCCACTCAGATATCTATGAGAAGTCAGGGAGTCTCTGAAGACTGTAGAAGGACATGTACTTGGAAGTATTCATGGAAAGTAGATTATGGTTGACCTTGAATACCATTAATTCTGTGAGTAAGTAGAAGATATTGAAAACCTTTGATCAAGAAGACATGTAATCATAACGATATTTAATAGGTAGTCTTAAAAATACAGAAAGTATTTATTGGAATTGTCTAGAAATTGTGTGTCGGTTGAGAACAGATACAAAAAAATTCTCTACTTGCTACAAGAATTCCTCTGCTTTGGAAGAGCCAGAGGTCCTGTGGGAATTCAGAGTGCAGAGCAGAGAAACTACCCTGGTCACTTAAAGCTGATTTCATATGTCTGGTTTGGGAGGCACAATATAGCAAATGATTACTACATTGATTTGACTACAAATACTTGACCTGTCCACCACTATATCATCTCACACTTCACTTGACTCTTTTACTTGTATTTCTATTTGTAATCTCTGGGCTGGTGTATTGCCAGAGATGCATGAGAAAATCTTGTCATGAATGGTTTCTGCTGCCTTTCAAAGCCATTAAAGGAAAATTCTCAAAGGCTGTCTATCTCTAGTAGTGTCTAACAAATTCATTGTTGTGTTCATTAGCTTAGTATGTCAGAATATCTTGACATTTGACACTTCTGTTTTGAAACTAATGGTTTATTTATTTAAAATAAGAAGGAGGTTTAAAGAAAAACAATTTTCCTTGGCAACAAAACACAAGGACAATTAATCACTTACGCTGGGAATTGAAGTGTAAACAGTAGATGAGATCATGGCTTTGCTATTTGTTCTTCTCTGTAGATACCAGCAAATTCACACCAGCCTTCTTCCTGGAGAATGTGCCTTTCTTTACACAAGTGAAATGCTACTTTCTTGAACATCCCAGCTGCTGTGTTATTTTGGTGAACTGAGTTTTACTTACAGCTGAAGGTTTACCAAATTGTGATCTTTAATGATTTTCTTTTAGGTATAATGCTTCTTTGTTAAAAAAAAAAGTGCTTTATATAAATCCCTGTTTTCTTATGTGAAATTCATTAACCCTTTCTAGGTGGTCCAGGGCATCGTTAGAAATTTCATCTATCATGATACTACCTTAAAGTAAGACCTTGGGATATTTTTAATGGAATGTTTGCCCTGCATAGAATGTTTCCAGACTATATGCTTTTGCAGTTCTTATGTTTACTTTATCAAGTGTTCTATTTTCTGTCTTTTAATCAGTCTAGTTGCTGTGCTTTTCTGTTTATTTTTAATGTTATAAATTGGAAACCACTTAAACTGCTTGTGTTGAAACTTGATAAGAAGGAGATTAGGCCAGGCGTAGTGGGATTACACTTGTAATCCCAACAACTCACAGGCAGAGATTGGGAGGATTTTGGTTGGAGATAAGCTCTGGCAAAAGTTAGTGAGACCCTATCTCAAAAACAAGCCAGGTCTGGTGGCACATGCCTGTGGTAACTGCTATCTAGGAGGCAGAGGTAGTCCTAGGTCAGTCCAGGCAAAATCATGACACCTATCTGAAAAACAAGCTAAAATCAAAAGGACTGAGGGTTAGGCTTAAGTGGCAGGGTGCTTACCTATGTGTTAAATCCCCCAGTACTGCTGAGATAAATAGATAGCGAGAGAGAGAGAGAATAAATACATTTATGTATTTCCAGCGAAGGCTTGGTAAAGGGATATTTCCATGCATAAATAAATGAACTGAGGCTCTACCTTGGTGACCTCTGCTTTGGAGTAATGTTAGGTATATGAACCTGGTAGTTGGAGGTCCTGGATCCACTGCCTTCTCTAGCTCTCACTTATCTGCCTATAAAACAGGAATTTGAACTTGCTTTGCTCTAGATTCCTTTCCACATCTAACATACCAGTATTCTAACAAGTCACCACTGCCATATGTTAAATAAACCAGCCATATGGTGGTGACCAGGAATTTCAACACACAGATTGCAACCCCCTGCTGATGAGTTTGATGAACTTAAGCTTGTTTGTGACCCATATCCATGTAATAAAAAAAAAATCAATTACCAGTGAATAATCATGCTTCAAGCATTAGCTGTTTCAGCCATGACAACCTCCTTTCTGTAACTTGGCATCCGCATGGCTCCTTTGGTTCTATATACCTGTTGCATGACACTTTCAAGTGAAACCAACCAGAGATCATTAGGATTAAAGAGAGATCTACTGAAGGTCAGTGATAAATTTCCTCCCTCCTTGAAAATTCTGGGTATGAGGACCTTTTTATGATGACAAAAATAATCATTGCCTGCAAAGAAACATTATCTCAGAGAACACAGAAGCATGCTCAAGTGAGAGCCATGGTCCTAAGAATTCAGCCTGCAGCCCAGAATAGAATCTAAGTCTATCAGAGCTGGGAGGAACCTCTATAAGTTATTTCAATCTCCCTTCATTCAGAGGAAACTGAGGTCCAGAAAGGGGAAGTAATTTGCACAAGGGTAGAGAGATAACATGAACATTTTCTGATACCAGTTTTGCTTTTGGAACTGTTCTGGGCCTGGGGACAGGAACCACCAGCCCAGACAGTACATGACAAAAGACACAAACACTTGGCCAAATAATTTTCCTGACTCAAGAGTCTCTTGAAACCTTATCATGGGTGCATGGATTTTCTCCCAAAGAGGATGTGGCTCAGTGACAGCTCTAGCCATAACCTAAACAAAGGGGTCACTGGCCCTGGTTAATATATGCATCCTCTGACTGGATTATAAAGTTCTACAAAGATCATTTGCCTCTGAGTATAGGGGGATTGAGCTCTGCTTTCTGTTTGGACTATTCCATCTCTGGGGTCATCATATTAACATGGTGGGTGAACTTATTAAGTGAAAACACAAAATTCAGAAGAGAGACTCATGTGGCTGAGGATCATAGATCTTCCTTTCTTTACTTTTTATTGTAGGCAACAGTGTCTTTACAGACTATTGTTACTTAGGGCACCAACATGTGGTTGCATGTAGTCAGTTTGTTTTCTCTTAACTTAATTCAACAAATATTTATGTACCAAGTTCTGTCTGGACTATAATGTGGGTGATGCCAAAAATTACTTATTTTGTGACATGAATTTAATAAGCACATCCCCTGCCTCTGGGAATGTGACATTTAATAGGAGAACAAGCTAACTCCTCAAATGCATATGTTAGGGTATTTTGTTAGGGTATGATAACTATAATGAAAGATGGTCAGCATCAGGGGTTTAAAGAAAGGAAATATTTCATCCAGCTGGGTAGGATCATAAAATAGTTAAGGGTTGGGGAGAGAGTTTAGTGTAGAGCACTCATCTAATGTGCAAGGCCCTAAGTTTGATCCTCACCATTTGGGAGGAAAAGAATATCCTTGGAGCTGAGGAATGACTGGTGAACAGGATTTAGGTAGAAAGAGTAGGTGGAGGTTTGGGTAGTAGGAAGGGAATCTAGGCAGAGGGAATAGTGAAGGCTTAGGGTATTCAGAGTTTCAACCAAGCTCCACATCACCCTACCTCTAAGCACCTGGTGTTATAGGAGAGCAGCTCTGTTGAGGATAGGGAGCTTGGAAACAAATGGCAGGAGGAGAGTCCAGAGTCTTTGTTTTCCACGAGAGTTTTCAAACACAAACATCCTAGATAAAACTGAGGCAGGGCAGTAGGAAGTTAGCCAGATTCCTGTGAAAAGAGGGTCAGACTATTCTCCATACAGCTTCACCATATCAGAGTCATGACTGCTTTACCAGCTACCAATCAGCTCTTCCAAGGAGTGTATGGAGAAAGTAGCTCAGGAGTGACTGTTCTTATTTTATAGACAAGGAATTTGAGGCCCAGATAATTTAAATGCATTGGCAAAGTGAGTATACCTACTGGTACATGAATGTAGTAAGTGACAGATTTAGGCCTATAATTTGCAGCATCCACATTCCCTGGCCAGAGCTCTTTCAAGTGTTCCTGATTCCCTGGACAGAGCTCTTTTTAGACAAACAAGGGTTCCCCTACAGCCCAGATGCCTCATGGCTTGGCTTGTCCATGTTCATAAGCTACACCCTGGTGCCCTTCTGAAGTCTGCTGTGAACCTGTGAAGAATACTTTAGATTTAATTTAGGCAGACATTCAGGGAGAGTGCTGGTTTTATTAACCTTTTAGTTAATCTGAGAAGAATATTCCCAGAGTCTCCTTCCCTGTGTAGTTCTAGGTTAGAGTTGATCCAAAGAGGAATTTGTGCAAGTTTGGAAGGCAACAGTCATTACTCTCTGAAGGTTGTTTTGGACAGATGTAGAAGTGCCCAGTAGGTTCTAACTTGT